AAGACACTAGAACTGGAAGGGACCGTGAGAGAACATTCAAGTCCAATCCCCTCGCGGCAGGACCAAGCACCGTCTAGACCAGCGGTTCCCAAACTTTTCGGCATCACGCCCTCTTCTGGATTTCTGAGAAGCCCTCGTGCCTCCCCCCACAAAAAGAATAGCAGTAAAACTTCAGCAGAAAAAAAAAAAAAAAAAAGACTGACGGAGGCCAAAAAATAAAATTAGCAGCAAAACTAACAGCAGAGCAGGTATTGCCCTTTTAAGGCAGCCATTTTAAGTCTGCCCCAGGGCTTTCTTGGGGGAGGGGGAATTGATGGGGGGGGGCGAGTCGCCTTCCACCCCCCTGGAATCTCTTCACGCCCCCCCCAGGGGGACACACCCCCAGTTTGGGAACCCATAGTCTAGACCATCCCTGGCAGGTGTCTGTCTAACCTGCTCTTAAATATCTCCAGTGATGGAGATTCCACAACCTCCCTGGGCAATTTATCCCAGTGTTTAACCACCCTGACAAACAGGAAGTTTTTCCTAATGTCCAACCTAAACCTCCCTTGCTGCAGTTTAAGCCCCATTGCTTCTTGTCCTGTCTTCAGAGGCCAAGGAGAGCGATTTTCCCCTCCTCCCTGTGACACCCTTTTTAGATACCTGAAAACCGCTCTCATGTCCCCTCACGGTCGTCTCTTTTCCAAACTAAACAAGCCCAATTCCTTCAGCTTTCCCTCACAGCTCATGTTCTCTAGACCCTTCATCAATTTTGTTGCTCTTCTCCAAATCTTGAAATGTGGTGCCCAGAAAGTAGGCCCTGCACAGGACACTCATGTGGCATATGCACGGCCTAGCCACTGGCTACTAGCCACTTAGCCACTCTAGGGAGGGAGACTATGTTCCCTATAAATTTTTCCATACATGTGCAGAATAAATTTTATGTGCCCAAAGGCATGTGCAGATGTGCACCACCAGTAGAAATACACTCTGCTGGCCATGGACGCTCTGCTAATCAGCTGGGCAGCACGTGAATCTCTGTGGGCGGCCGCCCAAGCGCTCAGCTTACAGGGAAGCCAGGAGGGAGGGTCAGTCAAGAAAAGAGGTTGGCTTTGTCCCCCATGTGGAATAGGAAACTGATTTTACTCTCAAAGTTTTTTGCAGGATGGAACAATTCTTCACCATGCAGCTCTAATTGCATGCAGCTGAAGAAGGGCCTCATTCAGTTCTGAAGTGAATCCGTTGTCCTTTCCCGAGAGGTCACAGATGTGGGACAATAGCAGATAGAATCATAGAATCATAGGACTGGAAGGGACCTCGAGAGGTCATCGAGTCCAGCCCCCCACCCTCAAGGCAGGACCAAGCTCCGTCTACACCATCCCTGACAGATGTCTATCTAACCTGTTCTTAAATATCTCCAGAGAGGGAGATTCCACCACCTCCCTTGGCAATTTATTCCAATATTTGACCACCCTGACAGTTAGGAATTTTTTCCTAATGTCCAATCTAAACCTCCCCTGCTGCACTTTAAGCCCATTACTCCTTGTCCTGTCCTCAGAAACCAAGAGGAACACATTTTCTCCTTCCTCCTTGGATATAGGAGAAGAATGCTGTGATTTGCACGGGTACAAGCCAGGAGAGGCAGCGTTCCATAGCTGTCATTTCTGCTACTTGTGGTTTGTTGGGGGCTTGTTTTTTTGTTTGTTTTTAACCTTGTGCTTCCATTTTTCACAAAGGTTCCTCAATGCCCCAGAACTAAAATAAAGCGAGATCCTATCTTCTTGCAGCATTTCAAACCATCACATGTTAGAAACACCTCTGGACACCCAGATCCAGTTTTATTTTCAGCACTGCAAGTGGGCAACGCTTTCAAACCAAGCCAAACCCGGCCAGTGAGAGGCAAAGGTGAACACAGCCACAGAACTGGCCAGTGGAAATCCACTAGAAAGATCAAACCATGCATGCCCTGATTAAAGCAAAACATTGAAGCCAGTTTAAGATCCCACCATTTACGCACGACAGGTTTTTGGCATCTGCTTGCACCAGTGTAAATCTGGTCCAAGTCTATCGGCATTAGTGGTACCCACTCTACTGACACCCGGGCAGAATCAAGCCCAGACGGATGAAGTGGCTTGTCCTATTTTAAATCGTTCCAAGGCCTTGCTGGTTCTCAGGGGCACGGGGGTAAGTTTCACCCCCAAACAAGTCAGAAGAAACCAGTAGCCTGGGTGAAACCTCTAGGCAGCAGTCACAAAGAACCTTTGCCAAAGGCCACACCTCGTAACTGGGAGCAGAAGCCACGGGCTCCACCTCCGGTGGCACAGCGCCTCGTGGGCCCGCCTGGACTCGTGGCCCATTTCGGGACCGGGCAGCAAAGCTGAAGCCCCGGGGCTTAGCAAAGAGTCCACAACAGTTGAGCCTTGCAGACAGAGCAGTTGGTTTTCTGCCAACAATGAGAGACGCGAGACCATATATGTCCTGCTGTCTGCAGGAAGGCCTCGAACGCTCTTCAAAACCTTTGGAGGAAGGGGAGGGGAGTTCATTTAGCCACGAGAGGCCCGGGGCTAGGTCCCAGCCATGCCAGACTGATCATAAGCACCCTCCTTCTTTGCACAGGGCTTGATCGATGGGGAACAGGTACTTACAGTTCATTCAACATCTTTATTCTCCTCTCCCCGTGTCTAGATGCAGAGGCGTCCGGACTCTCTGCTAAGGGCTCCCATTGCTCAGCACACTGCCCCAGAAATGCCCCTTGTGTTTTTCTTTTCACACATTTTAGTCTCACTCCCCACCCTGAACGGAGCACTTCATGAGATCATGCAAATGCAGCCGTCCTGTGAGAGATCAAAAGCCCCCATCACACCTCCTTGAGCTACCGGTGTGTTGCAAAGGGGAAAACAAAACCCCGGTGTTGCAAACACCCGCGTAGCAGAGTCCGGCCAATGCTACTTCCGAGCAAAGAAACAAACAAGCCAAAAAAATACCCTGGGTGAAACGAATGAGCAGCAAGGCCCGGACAAGACTTTAATGAAGACATTATGAAGTGCCAGGGTGAGATAAAACCAGTAAAGCAGCAGCAATCAGACCCGCAATTGGACGGTCCAAACCCATCGAGTCGAGCAGAGTGTAAAATACAGTTCTTTCAGCTGGCAACTTTCCAGGCCGTCGTGTCTTCTAAATTAAGGACCTAGGAAAGCTGAATTTCATTAGCTGGATGACACATTCAAGGTGCAAAGATCTTTCCTTCCTTCCTTGAGGGGATGTGGGGGGGAAGGGGGGTTATTATTGGTGTTCTCAGAATTTCGACGTTAATGCGACAGATTTAGATTTCATGCATTCTTCACCACTGATTGTGCGTCAGTGCTGGAGGGCAGTGGGGGCAAGCGTTCGTGTTCACCGGATGCGATGCGTTAATGATTTCTACTCTGTGGGCCAGAAAACATCAGAACGGCCAGACGGGGTCAGCCCAAAGGTCCATCCAGCCCAATGTCCTGTCTGCCCACCATGGCCAATGCCCCAGAGACAATGAACAGAAGGTTGCCAGATGGTTTCAACAAAAATACCAGACACACTTGACATGACATCACAATCGGCATGACATCTTATTTAGAAAATACCGGACAGTTCTATTTTCTCATTTCTACGTTCTCAATTTGTTTCCCAAACAGAAAGCTCAAATACTGGACTGTCCAGGTTAAAACCGGACACCTGGAAACCCTAAACAGAACAGGGAATCATCAAGCGATCCCATCTTTGTCACCCATTCTCAGCTTCTGACACCATCCCCGCCCATCCTGGCTAATAGCCATTGATCCTCTACTTATCTAGCTCTTTTTGGATCCTGTTAAAAGTCCTGGCCTCCACAACATCCTCTGGCAAGGGGTTCCACAGGTTGCCTGTGCGTAATGTGAAGATATACTTCTCTTGGTTTGATTTAAATCTGCTACCTACTAATTTTATTGGCTGACCCCTAGGTCTTATAAAAACAACAAATAGTCCAGTAGCACTTTAAAGACTAACAAAACATGGAGATGGTGTCATGAGCTTTCGTGGGTACGACCTACTTTAACGTAACCGTTCTTATGTTACGGGAGCAAGTAAATAACTTTTCCTTATTCACTTTCTCCACATCAGTCATGATTTTATAGACCTCGATCCTATCGCCTTTTAGTCTCCTCTTTTCTAAGACGAAAAGTCCCAGTCTTTTTAATCTCTCTTCATATGGCAGCCATTTCAAACCCCTCAGCATTTTTGTTGTCCTTTCCTGAATATTTTCCAATGCCAAGAGAACTTTTTTGAGATGAGAAAAACCCAAAATGTCCGCACAGGCCCATGGTGGGAGCACTGGCTATTACATCTACGTTTGAGCTGAGAAGAGCAATTTTTAAGCTCATGTCTTTATACCATATACATGTAGCCAGGCAGTAACAGCAGCAGCTCAGGCTAGTGACCCGAGTATGTACTACCCAGAGTCCCAGGGTATGTACCAGCGTTCCCTCTAATTTTTTCCCAAATATGTGTGGAATAAATTTTGTTCTGTGCACCAAAGCATGTGCAGATGTGCACCACCAGTAGAAACACGTGCAGCCAGCTGTGGGTGCTCTGCTAATCAGCAGGGCAGCATTGGAAACGCTCCTGGGCAGCCGTCCAAGCGTTCAGCTTAGAGGAACTAGCCTAAACCACCACCCCAGCTGTGCTGCTATTTTCAGCTATTCGAGCTAGAGCAGGTACCCAGACACAAGCTGGGAATCGCATCTCCTGGCTCAAACGCAGACCGAGAGCTGGGACTCCTGAATTACAGCCCCAGCTCCGCCACTAACCCACTGCTCGTCAGCAAAGCGGGGACTAAGGAAAGAATAGTCCCCCGGACTCCTACAGCAAGTGCTGCATGTCAAAGCACATGGCAAGCATTAATGGAGTCAGTGCCAGGACGCCCCACCTGGAAAAGTGAATACCATCATCCTCCCCCGGCCCATTTTACAAGTGGGGAAACTGAGGCACGGACCAAGGCCGCCACTTACCCCAGGGTTGCGCTAAGAGAAGGCAAGACGACAACCCGGGAGGCCCAACACCTACTCCTCGCCTGCCCCCCGACTCGGAGCGGTGCGAGAGGCTTCACTAATTAATGCTTGTTATGGTGTGAAATGCGCCCCAGGAGCACCAGGCGTCACAATGCACAAACCCTTCCCAGCTGGCCCCAGTGAACACCAGGAGCTGGAGTAACGGCGGCACGTGCCCGGTTGGGGATGCCCCCTCCCCGATCACTAACACACGTGTGCCACGTGAGAACGCAGGGTGGGCTCCCTGGGTGAGGCAGGAGGGGGCGTGGGAGCAGGAATTCCAGCACTTACCACCCCCCAGACCCCTCCGCGATTGGCTGTTACTCTCTTCTCCATCCCTTGTTCCACGGAAAAACTCCTCGTCGGGCCTCGCTGACACCAGGAGGTAACTAGCCCCAAAGGAAAAGCTCTCGTTTGACGGGAGAGGGGAGGGACCCCCACCTTCCCCGGGCCACACGCACACACTCCGTGGAAGGTGTGTCTGCCCTCCCCCCCATACAGAGCCTGCCTCTAATTAGCTGCAACTGGAGCGTGGGGATGGCTCTTGCATGCAGGAAATGAGCTGCAGGACCCCTGGGGAAGGATTCCCAGCGGAGCTGAGATAATGAACGAGGGAATCCAAGTAATAAGCTTCATGAGCCAGGAGCCGACTTGGAAATGCACCAAATGTTTACCCAGCTGATCATCAGGGAGGCAGGGAGGGGATTCCCGGCTCCTGGAGCAGGCCGGCCGGCACAGTACGAAGAAGCCAATCCCAGCGGCCACACGGGGCTTCACCCAGGCCTGTGAAGCCAAGCCAGCGTGTGAGGACTGGTGCGGAGCCCTGGAACTTCCTGCGCGAGGTGGCGAGCAGTTCAGCGCCACACCAAGCATCCTAGCCTGGAGACATCGCCGCGGAGGGCAGGAACGGAGATCAGACCGGCTCCCCCTCCCACCCGCAGCCCCTCCAGCAAGATCCCGAACTCGGGCTCCTTTCTGTGCCATGGACTGGACAGAGATACCTCCCCAGTGCCTTTCGCTGCGGCCTCCCGGCTGTCGGGCATGGTTCCAGGATGCCTCACTGCCCTGTGACTCCCAGACCCCGCTACTGCCTGAAGCACCCAGCCCTGGGAGACCCCGCCTCGACAGCCGCATTTGAATGATCCTCGGAAAAATCATGGAGGGGATCCTCAAGGAATCTATTCTGAAGCACTTGGAAGAGGGGAAAGTGATCAGGAATAGTCAGCATGGACTCACCAAGGGCTAGTCCCGCCTGACCGATCTGATTAGCTTCTACAATGAGGTAACTGGCTCTGTGGACATGGGGAAGGCGGTGGATGTGATAGACCTTGACTTTAGCAAGGCTTGTGATACTGTCTCCCACCAGATTCTTGCCAGCAAGTGAAGGAAGTATGGATTGGATACATGGACTGTAAATGGACAGAAAGCTGGAAAGATTGTTGGGCTCAACAGGTAGTGATCAACGGCTCGATGTCTGGTTGCCGCCAGGTTGCCCCAAGGATCGGTTCTAGGGCCAGATTTGTTCAACATCTTTATTAACGACCTGGCTGAGGGGATGGATCACACCTCAGCAAGTCTGCAGATGACACTAAGCTGGGGGAGAGGTGGATACGCCGGAGGGCAGGGAAAGGGTCCAGAGTGACCTTGACAAATTAGAGGATTGGGCCACAAGAAATCTGCTGAGGTTCAACAAGGACAAGTGCAGAGTCCTGCCCTTGGGAGGGAAGAATCCCAAACATTGGTACAGGCTGGGGACCGACTGGCTAAGTAGCAGTTCTGCAGAAAAGGACCTGGGGATGCCAGTGGATAAGAAACTGAATATGAGTCAACAGTGTGTCCTTGTAGCCAAGAAGGCGAATGGCATATTGGGGTGTATGTAGCAGTTCTGCAGAAAAGGACCTGGGGATGCCAGTGGATAAGAAACTGAATATGAGTCAGGGGCCCTTGTAGCCAAGAAGGCTAACGGCATATTGGGCTGCATTAGGAGGAGCGTTGCCAGCAGATCCAGAGACGTGATTATTCCCCTTTATTCGACTCTGGTGAGGACACATCTGGAGTATTGTGTCCAGTTCAGGGCCCCCCACTACAGAAGGGATGTGGACGCATTGGAGAGGGTCCAGCGGAGGGCAACTAAAATGATTCGGGGGCTGGAGCACATGACCTACGAGGAGAGGCTGAGGGAGTTGGGTCTGTTTAGTCTGCAGAAGAGAAGAGCGAGGGGGGATTTGAGAGCAGCCTTCACCTCCCTGCAGGGGGATCCAAAGAGGACGGAGAGAGGCTGGTCTCAGTGGGGGCAGAACAAGGAGCAATGGGCTCAAGTTGCAGGGGCGGGGTCTAGGTTGGAGATTAGGAAAAACGATTTCCCGAGGCGGGTGGGGAAGCGCTGGGCTGGGTTCTCTAGGGCAGGGCTGGAATCTCCGTCCCTCGAGGTGTTTAAGTCCCGGCTGCACACAGCCCTGGCTGGGATGCTTGAGTGGGGGTTGGTCCTGCTTTGGGCAGGGGGCGGGTCTTGGTGCCCCGAATGTCGCTATTAGCCCGATGCGTTCCTGCCCTCGCCTGCCCAGCGGTCGGCGTGGGGAAGCGCTGGGCTGGGTTCTCTAGGGCAGGGCTGGAATCTCCGTCCCTCGAGGTGTTTAAGTCCCGGCTGCACACAGCCCTGGCTGGGATGCTTGAGTGGGGGTTGGTCCTGCTTTGGGCAGGGGGCGGGTCTTGGTGCCCCGAATGTCGCTATTAGCCCGATGCGTTCCTGCCCTCGCCTGCCCAGCGGTCGGCACAAAACCTGCCCTCCATCCGATGGGAGGGGGGAGGCCATAACGCCCGTCAGCAGCAGATCTGCGCTTTCCAAGAGACAGCGGGCGTTTTCCAATGGCCACACAGGGTGCCATTAATAGAATTCATGCCCCCGCCAACCTGGCCCACCCAGGAGAAGGAGAGATCCTGACACTGGCCAGGAAGGGAGATGTTTTAAAAAGTATTCCCTTCCCCCCCCCCGTACCCCACCCAGCACTCCCAGGTCAGTCTGCTGCCCAGGCTTTGGGAAAAGGCAAACTGTTTATTTGCAACTCTTTAGCTGCTGCTGTGCAGTCAGGAGTCACCAGCACCCCCAGGATGGGAGCGGCTGAGCTGGGGCCAGGCCGTTTAACACACACGTCGGGGTGTTAGCACAAGGTATCCCTCCGCCACACACACACCCCCAGGTACCCCTCCACCACACACACCCCCCAAGGCATCCCTCCACCACACACACC